GAAAGGGAAAGGAGTTTGTAAGCCTCTCTGAGACACCTTTGGGTAGTGAAGGGCGGGGTATAAATCCAATCTCTTCCTCCTCCTCCTCTTATTCTTCTTCTTTTTCTTCTCCTCCTCCTCCTCCACATTGCTTTGTGGTTAAATGGCCTAGAGGTCACTGGGGCCCTGGATATAGACAGGGTTGCTGCCTTGAACAATAAAAGAAAGGCTAGGCACTTGATGCGCAGAAACTGAACACAGCAACTTGATGCACAGAAACTGAACACAGGTGATGCTCCCCTTGGTTACCTCATCTTCTTGGCTGGAAAGGTTTTACCTGCTTCATTTCTTGTCAGGCTGCTATTGAAGTCAGAAGGGCAGGTTTAGGTTGTTGGGTTTTTTTAAATGAGGCAACTTAGCCATTATTGCTGTTATGTACTGAGCCGGAACTGCCCTTGCAAAAGGACTGAGCTAGGGATGCATAACAATAGATGGCTAGGATCCCAGAATGGACCAGTAGGGAGATCCTAGAGTACACCAGTATATTTCAACTGCACTGGCAGCATAACCAGGCCCATTGCTCCTAGCCCCACACTTTTCATTGCATTAAGAGTAGGGAGAATGAGCTCTTTACATGAACATCAAAAGCAAATAGAACAGACCCAACATTTCAAAAGACGTGGAAGAAACTGTATGATTGGTACAATATAAATGCATGGATTAAAGTAATGAAAATTATGGTATTATTAATCTTTTTTTAGTTAAATAGAAACTATGGTAAAAAGATAAGAGTATACAGAAACTTAAGCAAACTTATAGAAATTCTTTAAATATGGTAATAGAGTTATAAGAAAATATACTGATCTCTTTGTATGTTTTATGTGTGTAAGTGGATGTTTGTTATGTAGTATGTTTGTTTGTATAATATGAAAAATAATAAAGGTGTACCTTATGGGTACTTAAAATAAAAAAAGCAAATAGAACACAGCAGATGTGGCATTGTTATGTGAGGTCTTTCAATAGACTTTGTGGTTTTCAAAAGTTGACTAGGCTGCTATTCAAGCCAGCCAAGCTCCAGTTCATGATAAATGTCACAGAAGACAAATATATGTAAGGAACTGCTAGAGTTGTGCCCACAAACAGTTCCACGACAGAGAAAGGAAATTTGGCAGTGAAACGTTGCCGCTCCTTCTGCAAAACTGAATCCAATCCCAGTCGAATAGGTGGAGTTATGCCAAATCATACAAGATTAATTATGTGACAGATGGTTGCTCCTTTGTGTCCAAGTCAACAAAATAAATCAACACCTTATGCAGCAACAGTATATGATGCTTCATCCTTCTTTGAAACCTGGTTCATTCTTTTCCAAGCAATTGTCTCTGCTTCCCTTGACACACTGTCAGAGCCTTAAGGTAAGGTAAAGGTTTCCCTTGCTCGAAAGCCAGTCAAATCCGACTCTAGGGTTGCGGTGCTCATCTCCGTTTCCAAGCCGAAGAGCCAGCGCTGTCCAAAGACGTTTCCGTGGTCATGTGGCCGGCATGACTAGATGCCAAGGCGCACGGAACGCTGTTTCCTTCCCACCGAAGCGGTACCTATTTATCTACTTGCAATTTCTTGCTTTCGAACTGCTAGGTTGGCAGGAGCTGGAACTAGAGATGGGAGCTCACTCCATCATGCGGCACCCGGGTCTTGAACTGCTGAACTACCAACCTTCCACAGCCTGCAGTTCAGCGTCTTAACCACTTGAGCCACTGCAGCGGCCTTACAGTATATTATATCCATGCAGCCTAACTAAAGGGTTTTGGCCTCTGTTTTTTACTAAGTGCTTTGAATTTACTGCTGTTTCACTATGTTCTCATTGATAGCTAACATTTTTGTTTTGTGGTTTGGCAGAATATGAACGGCGAAGTTCTGGCTCTCAGGACCATGAAGAGTCACGTGCAATATTAGCACAGAAGATTGAAAAAGAAACGGTTGGTGATAATAGCACCTGCCTATCTTTTTTAAAAAGACCCTCTGTTGTTGTGAATGTGCTACAATTTCAAATTATAATTTTTTCTTCTTAGAAAGTTATGTGAAAAAGGTGGAAAGAAAGCTTTAAGTAGAAACAGGGGGGGCATTTTCTAAGGAGGGAGAAAAAGAACAGGTATTGAGTCTGGCTTCAATGTATTTCTTAAAATTTGTCTCCATGCAGCAAACCCTGAACTGCACCCTAGATGACATCGAGCTGTTTGTTGCCAAACTTCAGAAAGCATCAGAGGCATACAAACAGCTGAACCAAAGGAAGAAAGGAAAGAAGAACAAGAAGAAAGGTCCAGCAGGTAAAAGAGAGAGAGAGAGAGAGAGAGAGAGAGAGAGAGGCTGGGCTAGTGACTTTAGGAAGTGGTTTTGAATGAAGAAAAACTCTTCATTCAGCCTACACACCTATGCATGTTCACAAAGAAATACAATTGTTCAATGGGGCTTGCTCCCAGCTCGGGGGGGGGGGGGGGGAGGAATTGCAGCCATATTCAAAAGAGGTCAGCATAAATATGCTTTTTGTTGTTAGAAAGTCCAGCTAAAATGGGGAAGATGGACTGACAGCCCATGTGCCAGATCTGCAGGTTCTGCCAGGTCTTAATGACAATGTGATTCTCATAGAAGCAGGGCTATTTCTGGGCAGGAACGCACAGGAATGGCGTTCCGGCTGGCCTCAGAGTTGGCCACGCCCACTACAGCCAAAACCTCTGTGTGCCTGGCTACAGAGGGAAGGCCTGGAGAGTAACACACACCCTGCATCTGCAGGGCGCCCAGGCAAGCCAAGGGAAGGCATGGGGTGTGGCCTAATATGCTAATGAGCTGTGCTGTCGTGGGGTGTGGCTTATTATGCTAATGAGTTCCTGCTGGGCTTTTTCTACAAAAAAAGCCCTGCACAGAAGAATCAAGAGGACTCCATGTTTCTTTCATATACATTTTCATGCACATGACAGACTGGCAACCAGCTGTTGTAGGGAATCTTTTCAGACGTCCACTCATTGATCAATAGGGTTGCCAACCTCCTGGCGATGTCTAGAGATCTCCTGCCATTACAACTGAACTCCAGGCAAGAGAGATCGGTTCACCTTGAAAAATGGCCACTTTGCAAGCAAGGCTCCCTCTAAGCTGTGGAGTCCTGTGAGCAAAAATTCTACTTGGTGAGCTCCTGGCATTAAAGTTGTGAGCGAGCGATTTGGCTGCTGCATGAATTAGTTTGCTCTGTAGCTCTCCTTCCTGAGCTCTACATGTGCGTACTCAAACCAGTTTAGACCAAAAAAAATCCATTGCATAACAGAAAACACAGAGCAATTGTGTAATGAAACTGGTTTCAAGACGGAATCATGAAAAACACATGTAGAATAAAAATTTAAATGCAGGGCAAAAGTGGAGTGAAGGCGGACCCCTCATACTATCTGAGTGCATGTGTTCCAAAACACTACTCTCTTACTAGTACATGATTTGACATGTGCGTACTCAAACCGGTTTAGACAAAAAAAAAAATCCATCGCAAAACAAGTCTCAGAAAACACAGAGCAGTTGTGTAATGAAACTGGTTTCATGGCGGAATCATGAAAAACACATGTAGAATAAAAATTTAAATGCAGGGCAAAAGTGGAGTGAAGGCGGAGACTGATGTGGAACACAAAACCTCGAATTCACTGCCACAGGAAGTGGTGGTGGCTACAAGCATGGACGGCTTCAAGAGGGCATTAGATAAGCATATGGAGCAGAGGCCCATCAGTGGCTATTAGCAACAAGGTATAGATAGGGGCTCTGGGGCAAGTGATGCTCTGTCTTCTTGGTGCTTGGGGGGGGGGGGTCAACAGTGGGAGGGCTTCTAATGTCCTGGCCCCACTGGTGGACCTCCTGATGGCACCTGGTATTTCTGGCCACTGTGTGACACAGAGTGTTGGACTGGATGGGCCTTTGGCCTGATCCAACATTGGCATCTCTTATGTTCTTATGTTCTTATGAATGCCAGTGCAAAAAAGGCCAAGGTCTGTAAATAAAAAGATAAAAAGATGGATGAGGTGTGGAAAGTTCCAGTCCCCTCCCATTTCCCAAACCTGTTTCTTCTTTGCCATCTCTCACCCTTGTCTTTGACCTTAAGGTCGTTGTTTCTGGGCCTGTTTTTCCAAAGTGGGCTGTGCCCCATTCCTCCATGCCGAACATGGCTTCCAGGGAAAGGACAGCCATTGCTCCCCAAGTAGCGATTATGTCTCGATCAGTGGTAGAGGACCACGAGGGATGGGTAGATTTCCCCCTAGTGCAGTGTTTTATCTTGCCCCATAGTAATTAATATCGGTCATTCACATAAGGGAGAAAATTAAAAGTGCTTGTGGATTTAGACCCTAATGTAGCTGCAATTTTTTTAAAGCAAAGTGTTTACTGTTTGGTACTTATACTCTGTTTGGTTTTGGTATCTTTGATGTAGTATGTTGTATGTGGTCATTAAAACTTGAGCCACCATAGGATGCTCCACAGGTAGATAGCTGCAAATACATGAAGAGATAGATGTGTTGAGGTAGTCCAGTTTATTAGAATCTAGCTCTAATTACTCATATAATCTTAACATGTATTATTTTTATGTTGGCATCTGAGAAGAATTACCCCCATTCTATGTTTGTTTGTCCTTAATGTTTGTATGTTTTTGAAATTTTTTAAAAAAAAATTCTCCCCCCCCCCCCCCAAAAAAAAAAAAACATAAGGGAGAAAATAAGGTTGTGTGTTTTCCTGGTGATCCTTGGTACATGGAGTAAGAAACAGATTTTGCACCCTGTTACTTCTGTCCTAACTTGCATCCTGTAAATATGGCCCATCTGTGTGAGGGAGAGTTCTGATTCCCATGAACATAGATCAGTCCCTAAGAATACAGGGCCTAACCATCCCCAAATACAAAGCGTCTCTCATCCACTCACAGCAATATAGTTCACCTTGTTATTTACTCTGAAATGTACAAAATAACCTGTCTTCTCCTTGATGCTTCTGTTATTGCTCCAAACTTCTAGTAAGACAAATAACCCCTTATTAATGGACCCTTCTTTGTTTCTTTATTGACAATATTTTTGCTTTTCTAGAGGGAGTTCTGACTTTGAGGGCAAAACCCCCAAGTGAAGCTGAATATATAGACTGCTTCCAGAAAACCAAGCTAGCACTAAACCTCATGGTAAGCATAACCCCTTATTAATGGACCCTTCTTTGTTTCTTTATTGACAATATTTTTGCTTTTCTAGAGGGAGTTCTGACTTTGAGGGCAAAACCCCCGAGTGAAGCTGAATATATAGACTGCTTCCAGAAAACCAAGCTAGCACTAAACCTCATGGTAAGAAGCAAGAGATGGAATTATCACTGAAATACAAGAAAAATAAACGTGAAAAATAAACAAGAAGTTCAACAAAGTATAATGGACTATAATTCACCTAAAGATTAGCATTAATGGCTCAAGATAGCTTTATTAAATAAATAAGGCATCAAACACAGTATTCATACTTAATATAGAGTATTGTAAGAACAATATATGAAAATGTAACCTTTGAAATATGATCCTTGCCTTAAATTGTAGCTTCTTCTTTTTAGTTATAGTTATTGCCCACTCTCTTTTCCTTTAGTTGTGTAGTATATATATAAAATAAGAGGGAATTCCGAACAATTTCCTTATATTGTATGTACATATACTCCGGTTTCTCTTCAGATCGTATAAACCTATTCCTGTCTACACATATATATTCAACTAAGCAGGGTTGGTACTTGTAAGGGAGACCACCAAGGAAGACTCTGTAGAGGAAGGCAATGGCAAAATCTCTCTGTTTAATCACTTTGCTTGTAAGTCCCCTGCTGGGGTTACTATGTCGGCTTTGATTTGACAGCACTTTCTACACACACACACACACACACACACACACATTTCATCTTCTTATATAGGCTCTACTGGCCTTAAGTCTGTGGAGCTTATTTTCCCAGTCCCTTTAGAAATCAAATGACACACAAGACATGATTGGCAAAGTTATTAATTGTCCAACCAGTGGAGCACATTTTCCCTCCAACACAGTCCTTTGTTCCATGCTACTGACTAATACTGTTAACAGAAATTCTCTTAATGCCTCTTTACCCAATTTCTCCCTGAAATCCAACAATCTATCTTTAAAGGAACTTAGGATCTGTTTCAAATCAATTCCATTTTGATTAAAAGAGAAGTTTTAAAAAAGGAGGAGCAGGCAGGAAGGTTCTGGGGAAAAAAAAATCAGAATTGCACTCTGCGAATGCTCAGAGGTCATCAAAGTCTTCCCAGATCTTCCTATCTTCTTGTTACAGCAGTACCCTGTGATGCAGAATATTAAAAAAAAAATCCTGCAAGGGCTAAAATTAAAAAAAAAATGGCACACCACTAGGCAATGCTCTGTCTAAGCTGTGGAGTCTTGTGGGCAAAAATCCTACTTTGTGAGCTACTGGCATGAAAGTTGTGAGTGAGCCATTCGGCTACTACATAAATTAGTTTGCTCTGTAGCCATCCTTCCTGAGCTAAGACAAAAATGTGTGAGCCAGAAGCTAAGAAACTGTGAGCTAGCTCACATTAACTCAGTTTAGAGGGAACACTGCCACCAGGTGGTATAACAGAAAACAATGAGAACTCAAAGAGAAATTCAAGAGAACTCCTTCTCAGAAAGAAAACAAAGACCGATAAATCAGTGGCTATATCTAGAAAAGTGAATTTTTAAAAAGAAGAAGTAATTCTACTCTCCATAATAATGCTACTGCTGACACATCCATCTCTCTTTGAAATACCATATGATTTGTTAGACACTGGGTCCCAAAAGGAATCTTTAGGGTGCCTTATGATTGGCATTTTTTAGGACATAATTTTTCTCCTGTTCCTACTCCTGTTGGCAGCAGAGGATGGGAATCATAATTATTGGGTTTAAATTAGGGGCCGGAAGGTACCCACTGGATATTTGGAAGAACTTTTTTTTTACAGTCAGAGTTGTGCAATAGTGGAATCAGTTGCCTAGGGTGGTGGTGAGCTCCCCCTCCCTGGCAGTCTTTAAGCAGCCGCTGGACAAACATTTGACAGGGGTGCACTAGGCTGATCCTGCATTGAGCAAAGGGTTGGACTACATGGCCTTTAGGGGACAATTCAACTCTGTGGTTCTATGATTCTCCTGTTTCATTTTCCTTCCAACAGTAAGCATAAACAGGCATAGTCTTTGGTCTGCTTAAGCTATGCACAGGGTCTGTGAGAACTGTCAGGTTGACTGATATCAGTAGGGTGCATTGTGAAGAACACTTAGGCATCATATGATGAAGGGCCACTCCTGAAACAGCCAGTCGTTTATTGTCTGGTTGGGCAGGGTGGGGACATCTTTGATGCTAGCAGCATCAACCGTCAACCACTGGGAAGAGTCCTGGGACCTCTTTGTGCATTACATGTGCAGACAGGGTAACCACTGGGTTGGTTAGTGCACCCAACTCATAAGTATGTTTAAATAGTCATGATGTAGATCAGAAATTTAAATACATGAGTTAGGTTCTAGTAACGGCATCTCATCATGTGTCTGTTTGGGAGAGGTGCTGTGGACAATTAGTATCTGAAAGCAGTTCTCACTATTAGTAGAAACTCAGCACTGCAGGAGAGGGCAGTCCATCAGAGGGTATTATTTTTTACAAGTGGCATGAGACTAGTGATGGTCCCCTATCGCTAGACTCATGACGCTTAGGGCTGCCAAGCCACGGCGGGGGATCCGTGGGCCTTCACAGGATCCCTGCCACGGGGGACAATGATACGCGTTGCACCACCGTTGCCAGGATGTGACGCTACACGTCGCTCTGGCAACGGGACTCCAAACAGCCCCGTTGACAGAGCGACGCGTAGCGTCACATCCTGGTAACGGCGGTGCAACGCGTATCACTGTCCCCCGCGGCAGGGATCCTGTGAAGACGCACGGATCCCCCGCCGCGAC